TGCCAGCATAACTGATTTGACATACTTCTGTTCCATTTAACCAACACATGCAGAAGCAAACACATGAAAGAGAAGTGCATCCGACTGGGTGAGGAATCGGCGGAGCTGGAGAGAGCCTGCATCGAGTACATGAGGGCAGATGACAAAATTCGCGGGATTGCTGGAGCCATGAACCGGCTCAGCATGGAATAGTTCACCAGGAACATGGTAGCCAGCCATTGATAATCGTCATATATACAGCATCACTGATAGTGATGTATTGTTTTACGTCCCCTACATAGAGCAGTAGAAAGAACTGTTGTTAATGGTGTCCTGTTTTCAATTTTAGCTGCAGGAATTTTAGCTGCAGAGTGTCACTATTCTCAGTCAGTGAGTCATGGTCCAGGAAAGATGTTTGGATTAAGATCCGGATCAGGAATTTGGATTGTTTAACTTATACCTGACATGTTCTGTACAACAGCAGATACAACCGAAACACTACTGAATGTAAGTCTAAGTAATTTGTTTGACTTGTGAGCTGCTGAGTGCAACCAATTCTCGATATGTTAAAAATGATTTATATTGAGTCACAATTTACTTCACTTGACCTTTATTTGCTGACTCTGTTAGACATCTTTTCCATGATAAGCTATTTCAGTTGACTTGCGTTGTCTGGATGCTATTGCAAAAGTATTTTTGTGGTAATGATGATGATGGTAATTGACAAGAGACGTGTGTCTCAGATTTCTATTGATCTTTGGGTGATGGTTTCTATGGCATGCATTATAGACCCGATTTGTCAGTTGTAAGTGATTGCAAGGTGATAACATGGCTGATTAATCAAATAACGCTTGACATAGCAGGTGTGCTGATGTGTGATGTTGACTGGTGAAGGCAATAAAGACATGTAGACTCTGTTTTAGTGCCCTGGAGTTTTTGTTTCTGGACAATTTTCTAACCTGTATAGGTATCTGTATAGGGCTGTATTATTCTACATACATACGGATCATGATTTATTATATGATACAAAAATTATTCAGAATTCCACTTGCAAATATCACTTAATCGTGGTATTAATACTACCTTCTACATTCGTACCAAATTATACTGTTACCAATACCACTTGACAACATTTATCCTATGACATATAAGTGTATAACCAAGGTAATCTGAGATTCAACAAACCCAAAGGTAACCTCAGGTCACGAAGCACGGGGCGTGTCGTCATCGGTCAAAGGTCACGCTACCTACCTGTGCAGGTGTCAGCGGTGTGAAATTATGTCAGAATAACGTTTGTTTAGTGAACGTGCGGGTCAACAGCCCTGCACAGGGCACCCTACGTTTTACCATATAAGGTGATGTCAAGTTTTGGCGTGACGCCAGAAACGGTAACACTTAATAAAGTATTGATTTGGGGCGGAGTTGTTCAGTATAGCTAGAGTAACCCGGAAGTGAGAGTCCCAGGCCTGACGGTGCAGAGATACTCTGATCCGAGCTACACCGTCCGAACAGAGAAGACAGAGAATGGCGCTGGAGTTCCTCCCCATCCCGCTGTCATGGGTGGTGATGATACTGCTGCCTGTGCTCTTCTACATGTAAGTCTGTTTAGTACGTTGTTCTGTCGCCAACCAGTCAATAGCGTACTCGCAGCAGAAATGCTACTGCTAAATGAATAAAATAATCGGCGTGGCTATTTACACTCCCGGAGTGTATATAAAAAACAAATAGATTTTATTTACACTCCGAAATACTAGCCTTCTTGGTAGGCCCAAAACCTGGGTTTTTGTGAGTGTTTGAGGATTCAGGGGCACCAAGTTTAAACCTCGGTCTTCAAGTTTATCTTAGTGGATGATGAAAATCAGAAAACAACACGGAAATCCCCACCGAAGTTCGAAAACACAGGGTTTTGACCTACGACCCGAATGTCAGCCAATCAGCACTCGACAGGGATTTCCCGCTATTTTTCGTCTCTCGCGCCAACATGGCTGCCGCGCCGTCCCTACTGAAGTTAGGGGACGAATTTCTCACTTGGGCAGAGTTTAAGGCAGCACTGGACAACTATCAAGAAACAACACACGCTGAGCTCAGTAAGATCAGTAGCAAGAAGGTGGAAACTGAGAACAGGAAATTACCTGAAGGCGTCCAAAAGTTTCCGTGTGCTCATGTTTATAGAGCGGTGAAGTTTGGATGTATTCATTACGGGAAGCCGCGCCCGTCAGGGTCGGGAATCCGGCCAAATCAGTCGTGAGTATACATCGATTTTTTTCTCATTGTAGCTCAGGAATTTCCCTTGGCTAGTTAAGTCACTCTTGAAGCCATACTAGCCACAATCCTTGGCCAGACCGAGACGAAAGATCTACTCTACTCTACAGTACTCTACTCTGTGGTGCATGTAGTGGGGAGGGGGGCAAATTTATGACTATTCAGTACTGGCGGGAAATTATGTGCAGGGCTCTCCCCAAGCAAATATTATGAAACATGTTGTATGTTGTATTCATACATTACCCTGACAGGTTGACAACTAATGACGCACAATCTACGCGTACATCAACACAGATTGTTTGAAACTGACTTTACTGAATGCAAAAACTCAAGCTGACATACCAGCAATATCGGTTGTAGACCCGAACCTTCCAGTTCTTAGCCACTTACCAATACGTGTCGATGTTAATCCATGTCCAGATTAAGTTGTGCTCAAACAAGTTGCATGTCCAAGTAAGGTGACCATTTTACCATGTTTCATTTGAGTGGCATAGGATGTCAGTTAAGATATTTCACCTTTCATATTTATTTTGCAGGCAATTCTGTATGGCCTCCACAAGATCAAGGGAATCAGCATGGAGGCAGCTCAGCAACTGATGGATAAGGGACCAGAGCGATCCCCTGAAGAGACGTGGTACAGGGACTAGAAAGAGGAGGAGAAGAACCATCCACCGGACATTTTAGCTAGTTTTTTAAAAAATTTTAATTTTTTATATTCCACAATCCCGGAGCCGTGGTCTTTATCTTTTGACACATGTTACATGATGATATTTACAATATATACAGTATGTTTATTTCAATCTATCAGGTAAAGAAGATCCCCCCATTTCTTTTTGACTTTTCCGTATGATATATTTTGCTCTATTTTTAAGCTGGACATAAAAT